TTTCGAAATGGAGGGTTGGCGGTGGAGCTTAGTACGAGCTCGCATTCTGAGAATTGAGTTAAGTTAAGACATAATGATTAACTCAAAAATCCACTTAACAACCAAAATGAATGTTCAATATCAACATTTAGACAAAAGACAGAGGTGGAATTGAGCAACACTAGCAAAGGTGTCATGTAGCTTTTCGCAGCACCAGGAAAGGAAAGTTAAAGGAACAAATAAATTTGTACCTTTCCTGTTGTGTTTGCAACTATTTCAAAATAACAATTAATTCTTCACTTTGTTGCCGCTACTCCAGTGCATATTAGGACCACTGGTTTGATCACAATTTCCTTTCCATTTTTGTTCTTGTTATTTCCTCTGTTTCTTTTCCTATATCCAGAATGTCGTATAAGACCACATATAAGTGATCTTATATGTGATCTTGTTATTTCCTCTTGTCAAATCACACCAGGCACAAAAAATGGCGCCAATATTGCAGCTCAATTGGCGCCTTACTCCCAAAATGACTGGATTAATTCATGTATCAGGAATCAAGTTTCTATTATTGTTGTTAAGCTTAATTAATCATATCAGATGCCATTATGTAACTAAACGGTAGTAATTAACCCCAACTACTTGGGATATATCTGTAATTTTGGCCCTGATGACGTCAGAAAAGGGGCCCAATTTTTTATCAAGGGAGGTAAGTGAAATTTTGAGAACCTCAGGGGATGTCAGTGAAAGTGTCAGAAACCTCAGGGGAGGTTTCTGAAATTATCCCTATATATATATATATATATATATATATATATATATATTTGTCCCTTTGTTCATGCCAAACCAAACAAGTCCTATCCTTATATTGTCCTTTTCTGAACCCAATAGATTTTCTAGCTATTATAAGAAGACATGAGAGTTTGTTGTAACATCCCAATTTTTTAACACGCAGCATAGCTCTCCTTTGAGGAAGCTGTGATTTTCTTTTTTCCATTTTATTTCTCCACTTCTACCTTGATGGGTCAAGACCGAAGATCTAAAATACGAGTTAAGATAGAAGATTTTCGCTGCAGTTCACTTTGTTTATTTAAACATATAGATTTCTACTATTTTTATATGTTGTATAATTTATAACTATATGATCAAGCTTTACAAATTAATGAAAAACTTTTAATTCTTGGATATTGATTAATTATGTTTAATTAGTAGCTCACCCAACTCTTTCATTTAAATAGTTCCTTTATATGACCGATTAAAGTGTCTTTTCCTGTTGTACAATAAATCATTTCTCAAAGTTGCATAGAAAATCAGCTTTCTTTCTTCGCAATTGTACTTAATAGTGCACTTGCTTTATTGCTTTCATTAATCTCAAGATTAGTGATAGATTTGATAGATCATTTTTTTTTTACCTATTTTCCATAATCATAAATAGGGTTGCAAACGAATCGAATCGCTTGCGAGTAGCTAGAACCAGAGTTCAACACGAACTCAATCAACGTCGACCTCCAATTAAACTTGAGCTAAACACGTCGAACTCGAGTTTAGAGATACTCAACTCGTTAGCTCGCGAGTTGGCTCGATTATATATATTTTTTATTTTGTATTTAATAATAAAATTACATATATATCCCTAATATTTTATTATTTGTTAAGATAATAATAATTTTTAAATTTTTTTTAAAGCTCAAGTTGTTATATTAAGAGCTCAACCTCGAGTTCGAACTTGATAAAACTAAATTGAGGTCGACTCGATTAGGTCAAAACTCAATTCGATTCGATTCGTTTGCAGTTCTAATCATAAAATGGTTCTTCATTTTTGCTTAAGAGAAACTACATCAAATCACATAATATAGGTTCAAAATTTTATTATAAACAGTATATAAATAAACTAAAAAATTAAAAATTTTCAAACATAAAGCTTTATAATACCTTACCTTTTCAAATATTGCTAACTATATTTATTGTTGTTATTATTATTATTATTTTTATCCTTATTACTTGATTTAAAGTTTGATAAATTGAACAAAGTATGTATAAAAATGAATATTAGTTCAATAGCAAAAAAAAATTAAGGATAATAAACTACATATAAACTTTTTTGTATTTGAATTTTATCAATTTGCTATTTTTGCATAGTAGATACCACTACAGAGAAGATGTTTATCTTTTAGCAGTAATATAAAGATAATAGTAAATTATGTCGTAAATAAAAGGGTCATAATATCATTGCACTCACTTTTTTTTTTGGGTTAGATTTAGATTTTCCAATAGTCGCATTTAAAGGAATCAAAATACTTGAACTTTGTTATACAGTGATTGGCAAGGCAAGAAATGTATATCTATTCAATTTCAATTACTTATTGATGTTTTAAGTACTGTTGTAACAAAAGAAAAGCTACTGTGCATATTTGACATCCCAATCTAATCCAAACGTTCTAATTTTTTAATTCGTGTTACTTTGAGAAAAGTTTATTAGCACACCAATTTCTTTTTTGAACTGAACTGCCATGCCAATTAAACATTTTCCTACTGAGAATATTAGCTTTTTCTCTTTATCCCTTGCGACAGGAACCAGCATGTGGTCCTCTCTAATGGCCAGTACTTCTTCGTGGTCAATTTTCCATTATACATTTGGATAGCCACCGCTCTCATGCTTTCCACCGTTTCATTCCACTATTCCCAACAAAACTTGGGCACTAGAGTCCATTAATTTCTTTTTCATGTGGCTATGCGGTCTCAAACCTTATCATATCCCATGCTTTAAGAGAATAATCAATTCAGAATCTTTTTTTTTTAATCTTTTTTTTTAGTCCAAATCTCAACCCTTATCTTATCACGTCTCTTGTTTGATCACTTTCAATATATACCAAAGCACATTTTTGAAATTCACACGTCAAATATAAATAAAACTTAAAATTTAATATACAGGTTTTCTACGAAACATACACATTTTAAGTTGTCAAACTCGATTCACACAAATTTACAAATTATACACATATGGACTCAATCTTATAATGTCATCCTCCTTTATGAGAAAAGAAAAACTAGAGGTGGCAAAATGGGCGGGATTTGCTTGAGTTTGAGATGGAACCGAGTCATATGGGTTTGGGTCCAACCTTACCCATATGTGTTTTGGGACTAACTTGGGCGGGATCATTTTGGGATGGGTTTAGATTGATCCCGCCCAATACCCAAATCCATTTTCTACATATTTTTTTTCCTTTAATTCATTTTTTTTAATATAATTTTAATATTTTTGATTTATTAAATTTCTTTTAGTTTTATTAAATAAACATGCAAGTGCTTTATACTCAAGATTCCCACCAAAAATTGGATTAACAAATAAAGGAAAAGATAGATATACAGCCATATTCCAACATATATCAAGATGGCCAAGGTCCTTAGGATGTTGAATATTTATCCTTATCATTGTCCAAGGATGACAGGTCTAAACTAACTGAAATGCTGGAAATTCTTGTGGATAATGATTAGGAAGACTACAAGATTATATTCGCTGGTATGACTATACAAATTGTTAAAGATAATTTTTGAATATAAGATTCCGTTTGGATTGACTTTTTTTGCAAAAAATAAGTTTTTCAAATACAATGTTACAGTAATATACAATAACTCAAGAAACATCCCATCCATATTAATATATCAAATATTTCAAAAAAAATTTATAGTAAAAATTTTTCATATACACTGCTACAATAAAATATTTAAAAAACACCTACCAAAAACAGCTAATCCAAACGGAGCCCTTGCTATTTGAGCCCAATGGGTACCCAAGTATTTCCCATCCTTTCCCATTCATTAATGGGTATAGTTGGGATGTGTCCCAACTTAAACCCAATACCAAATTATAATACCCATCCCGCCCAAAGTTCCTTTGGGCATGGGTAGCCCATTGGGACTTGGGACAAATTGCCAGATCTAAGAAAAACAAACAAGTCATGACCAATCCTTAAAATAAATATTGAATTAGAATGGTTTTATTTTATTTTATATTACTCCTTCTTCTTACGGAAACGAAATTTGACTAACTAAACCTAATCCCAGAAGTCAACCCAAAAGCCGGCAACTCTTGGATTGCTCCCATGGACTTAACTACCCAAATCCCAACCCCCCGAAAGCCGATGTGGGATAGAAACCCCGACAGGGGCCAAGCCCATTGGACCCGCTGCTACTAAGCGGTGAAGACCCCCCACAAGCCCAGAACCCAAGCAGAGTTTCTTTCGAACTGACGCCGGCAGATTACTGTCATTGTTTTTTTCTTCTTACGGAAACGAAATTTGACTAACTAAACCTAATCCCAGAAGTCAACTCAAAAGCCGGCAACTCTTGGATTGCTCCCAGGGACTTAACTACCCAAATTCCAACCCCCCCGAAAGCCGATGTGGGATAGAAACCCCGACAGGGCCATTATTTTATATTACTCTTATTATTATTATTTTGTTTTTGGTATGTAGTGAAACTCTTGGTACGAAAATACCAATAAATGAAGCGTCGAGTAGGTGAAAGTGTCGTTTGTTGAAAAAAAAAAAAAAGTAGGTGAAAGTGAGGGTCCTCCTTAAAAAAAAAAAAAAAAAAGGTGAGGGTCCACTTTTGGAGGCTTGGGATGGTTTATTACCGCGTCATAACGTCTCTTTCTCCAATTTGAGCAAAAATTTGCCTCCTCGTTTCCTGGAATTAATTGAGCTTCTCTTTCCTTCCAACAGAAAATGGTCAAGTCATCTACACCTCAGAAAAAATTAAGCAATAAATAACTAGAAAGAAGAAAGAAATTCAAAGAATACGCCAGAGAGATAAATTTAAGAGAATTTCTCTTTCTTTCTTTTCCCATTCCAAGCTTTTTTATAGTTGCATAAACACGTGCATGTGTGTGCAGCTGTGTGTATGATGTCAAATTTGATGGAGTATTTGAGTGAAAAAGAATAATCCAGTCTTTGAATTCGTTAGTTTTTACACCTGGGTTTTGCTCAGTTTATCTAATCAGGTGTGTTCATTGACCTTCTCTCTCAGTCTCTTTAATCGTTTTGACCAGGGAGGATTGTATGCAAAAGACGTGATTCTTGTTTTTTTTCGGCCTCTAATTTGATATTGGATGTAATATGTTAATTGGAATGACGAGATTGTTGATGCTTTCGATATTCTTTCTGTTTTATCGTCTGAAGAATCTGAGATTTCTTTGTGCCCATTATGAGTGGTTAATGACTGCAGTCGATGGTGTTTGTATAATGGTAGTGTTAGTTGATGGATTATTGTTTTCGAACTTGATGGTAGGAAATGTCGTTTTTTTTATCCAATAAAGTAGATGCTACAGTAAAAAAGTTTGTCTTTTTATGATCCTTTAAAGTGGGAATATTCTGATTACAATGTATCATTTCTCACGGCAACTTGATTCAGCTCTGAGGTGAAATTCAGGGACTTTGACTCTTTCCTTAGCAAAATTGGACTCGCGGCTATCCCCTTTTTTGCTTTACTTGAGTTCTGATTTGGAGATGAGAGCAATTCTTAGGTCCATCAAGCAATTCAGATCAGCTTCTCGGTACAGAGGAGATACTATCTCTAACGGATTTCCAAAAAGACAGCATTTTTGGGTCAATACGAGTGGAAGGGCAGCCTACAGTCTACACCAATATGCAGATATTCGCAGATGTTATCATCCATCTTACCTGTTCTCTAGAGGTTTGCATGCTGATGCTGCAAGAGTAGCTAATGGAGGTTGATATCTTATTGGTGATTTATGGTTCGCTATTCTGGTGGCATTTTTAATGGACATGAAGTTCTAGTTTTTGTTGTGTATTGGGTCATTTTGGTTCAATTGCAGAAGTAGATAGAGCAGGGCCCCTTGTAGAATACGAGCGAAGAATTGCCTCTGGTGAACTTGTCGATGGAGATATTTGCCAGGTTGGTTAACTGAATTACCACTTTATGATTTAATTCCCTTGAAGGTAATAGAGTGCATAGGATTAGTAGTTTTAAAAAACATAAGGCGAGGATAAACAGGGAAAGGAAAGATACGTTCTTAAGAATAGTAATCTTATTGCTTGTACTCTTGTTAAGTTTGTTGCATCTACACCTTGCTGAGCTACTCTCCTTTCAAAAGATTTTTTCTCGTTAGCTTGTAACAATAATGGCAAACTAGTACTGATATCTTAGCTTGCTGATATCATGTGTAAATGTGCTGGATTATTTAGACGTACTGGCTCCAGATAATTTTAACAATTAAGTAGATGTTAGGTAAAAATTTTGCTACTTGTATTTCTCTTTCCTCATAGATATTAAGGATTGCTTTCAAAAGAGAATAGATTTTAAAAGAAATAAATTTTGGATGATGTTAAGCAAATCATTTCTGTGCCATGCGAGAAGTGTATGGTCAGAGTCTTCTATCTTGTCTTTTAAAAGTCAAGCACCTTTTGAAAATGAATTTGTAGTTAGGCACTTTGAGAGAACTTCAAAGGCTCTACGACCAGTTGGTTCAAAATGCTGATGCTTGCCAACTTGATCGGTATGCGGCATCTAAGAAAGCAGGAAGGTAAAGTTTATTGAACTTTCTACCATCTGTCATGAGTAATACTTGTAGCTTTGTCCTTTCATACAGTTTGTTATAAAAGACTTTCAAGTCAAGTTTTCATATAATTCATTCTTCAAGTTACTTTGACCATTTTATGAATCTTTGGTCTATTTCAGGAGTAGGTGGTTGTGGTCACGTTTCATACCTCAGTCTTCTTATTCACCAGTGAAAGGGCTTTATCTTTATGGAGGAGTTGGCACTGGAAAAACTATGTTGATGGACCTGTTTTTTGAGCAATTGTAAGCAAAAGGCCAAATTTTATTTTGGGATGATAAATGCAATACCACTTATTGGTCTGTTGCAACACATATATGATTACCACTCAATGGTTGAATTACTTTCAGGCCTTCCAGTTGGAGGAAGAAAAGAATCCATTTTCACGACTTCATGCTGAACGTTCATAGCCACTTGCAAGTATGAATCTTTCCTATTTTTCTAACTATCAGAATTTTTATAGGTCCATTGTCAAGATTACTGTGCGAAACTTAAAGTTACTTTCTGAATTGACTGAAAGTAGTTTGATGTTCAATTGAAGGCATTGATGACTTTTTCAGTTACTCCATTATCCTTCTAATAACTGATACATTGTCGGCTCACACACCTAATATTCTTCCCATCCACTACTTTCTCTCAGTTCAAATGTTAAGCGATTTCCATAGGTATTTAGTTCTTTTCATAGTGGCTATGAGTTGATTTTAAGGGCTTGAACATTTCTGATGTAAGATTGGGTTCAACTAACAATTGATTGCATCTTTCTCTTTGACAACATCTTTTGTTGTGTTTTTTTATAGCTTAGCTATCAACACAATCTCTTAAGGAATAGAATGTAATCATCTTCTTTCAACTGCCCATTGTTGCAGAAGCACAAAGGTGTTGCAGATCCCTTAGAAGTTGTTGCTGGAGAAGTATCAGATGAATCAATTCTGTTATGTCTTGATGAATTCATGGTATATTTATTTAGCAAGTTAGCACTATATTCTACTTACTATTGTTATGTATGAGAAATTTGTGTTGCGCTGCAGAAAATTTTATTTCCTAGATGTTGTGATTGAGTTGTGAAGGCTAATGATGGAGCCTGTACAAAATTCTCCTCCAATCTATTGCTACTTTTTGATTCTCTTGCTGATTTTCTTTTGCAGGTTACTGATGTTGCTGATGCATTGATACTAAATCGTTTATTTAGGCATCTGTTCTGTAATGGGGCTGTAAGTACTTTAGATTTTCTTTTTAATGCATTTAATTCCCATGAGTTATTTAGACTCAGCATGAAAGTAATTCTTTGTATTTGATTGTTGATGCAAATGGTTACAGGTCCTTGTTTCTACATCAAACCGTGCTCCTGATAAACTTTATGAGGGTGGACTGCAAAGGGATCTTTTTCTGCCATTTATAGATATACTAAAGGTCTGCATTCTTGAATATAAGCTATACCAATATTATTTTTGCAAATTTTACTTTCATGGAGTTTGAACCTAACTAATCGCATCTCCTGGAGATCTGAATTATTTGTTTTATCTCTGTGATCTCATACTTTTGGGAAAAGCCCTGAACTTTGAATTCATTTTTCTCTCTCGGCATTTTCAATTTTATGTTTTTATTACAGCTACTTTCTCTTTCGTGCTGTCTTAAACTGGTTATTTTGTGGCAGGAAAGATGCGTGGTTCATGAAATTGGGTCATCAATCGACTACCGTAAGATGACTTCGGTGATGTTACAGTCTCCTTCTTCATATTCATTAAGAATTTCATTTTTTGAGTACTTTGTTAATTGTTTCTGTTTACAAAGGATACAACAATGCCATTGTCACCATATAGACAGTTGTTTGACCACATTTTTTCCCCTGTAATGCAGGCACAGCAAGGCTTCTATTTCGTGGGGAAGAACTTATCAAGCCTAGTTAACCAGAAGTTTTTCCAGTTGATTGGAGAATATAGAGCTGTTCCTCAAGAGGTGGAAGTAGTTATGGGAAGGACATTACGAGTATGTACACTGCTTTGGATTTTTATTCAACTTGGTGTGGTGTATGAGCTCTATTCTCTACATAATCTGTAGGCATTTCTTTATCTGCTTGACTTTTCAGGTTCCACTCGGTGCTAATGGTTGTGCTTACTTCCCATTCGAGGAACTCTGTGATAGACCACTTGGTGCAGCAGATTATTTTGGATTATTCAGTAAGCCAGTCTGCTCTCTCTCTCTCTCTGAACTTGCCGTTGTTAATGGTACCTTACCTCTTTAACCAACTGCAGTTACTGACAAAAGTTTTTCCCTTTTGGTATAACTAAAAGACTCTCATGTTGGTTTGATATTCTTCTGCAGCATCATGATTCTCCATTTGCTGATGGCTTTTTCTGGCTATTTATTACTTTTATGCAGACATTCACAAACATATTTATTTTGAATAGCTCTTAATCAATTCAATCTCTGTTTACAGAGAAATTTCACACACTAGCTTTGGAAGGTGTGCCACGTCTTGGTCTCCACAACAGGACTGCGGCATATCGGTTTGTCACTTTGGTTGATGTTAGTCCTTTTCCTGGAAAAAATCTATTTAATTTGATTACCTGGACAAGTGCCTCTGCTCTGTTGCCTCTATCTTTTCAAAACCCTTGATTCTATTCCTCCAGAGCAGACTACATTATGACTAGCGGCTGCTAGCCTAAAGAAAATACTTTTCACACTAGATTTCTGGACATCTCATGTTGCAGATTACTCTGTTATAGAATTGAAGGAACAAAAATGCTGACGCCCTGTTGTTTTAATAGGTTATGTATGAGAATAGAGCTAGACTGTTATGTACAGCTGATGCAACTCCTATTCAACTTTTTGAAAAGATAGTCACAATTGCTGATGCTCAGCAAATTTCTCCAAGAACATCTTCTAGATCAAGGAAAAATGACGATTCTGACATTTGTGTGGACAATGAATTGGGTTTTGCAAAAGATCGCACCATTAGCAGGTACATCACTTTGTCATGAATCTGTCTACTTGCCACTATGCTTCTGATGTTTCCTCATACCAAGCAAATAATACGGTTTTTGACTTGGCTTATTACACATCTCCAAGGTTATGAATAATGGCATTTATCATTTTCATGCACTCTATGTCATTTTAGTGCCAAGGATATGCCTTTCATATTCTTGCAATTTCCGATATTTTGTTGTTCCACCGAGTTGAGTAAAATGATCATCTTTAATGTTCTTCTGGTGTCCAACTTGTGCAAGTATTCGTTTTATCTTGTCTCAATTTTGTCTTTGCCTCCACACTCAGTTCTTTTCTTTTCCCTATCTGATTTTGGTAGGATCTTGGAACATCATTCTGACGTCTGATTCTGATGTTAGGTTGACAGAGATGAACAGCAGGGAGTACTTAGAGCAGCATGCTGCAATGTTGGCACAAAAGCAGCAGTCATATGAAGAGTGCAGTAAAAATGCTTTACATCCTCAATAGTACCAAGAAATTTTTTCCAACATTGTCCTATCCTGGAACACGGCTGTTATCTGTAAGATGTAGATATTACATCTTCTTGTTTAGAGAAATTTGGGGTCGTTGTCCATGGTTCCGGAGATAGAAGTACAATTTTCAGCCGATAATCACTAGTTGGATTGTAAAAAAATTATTACCACATTGTGAATCCTGTATTGAAAAGCTATAGCTACATTATGTATTTGAGAGAAGCATTTGTTTTCAGACCCTGGAATAAACGAGTAGCCTATCATCCTATACTTTTTGCTCCCAAAAGGGGGAAAAAGGGAGAAAAAAAAACTGGGATTCTATGTAATCTCCTATTATGGTGGCTGATGAGATTGCTGAGATGCATGTAGACCCAGTTAATATCAAATCTAAGTGTCTTTTAAACTAGCTTTCTTTATCCTTTAGAAGTCCAAGGATTAAGGAGAGCTTTTGTTGAAGATCTTGCTTGATCAAGAAAGATTCTGATCAGATAATGTGGAAGCTGCTCATATTACCGGCTCTCCTGGAGTATCACTCAACATGCTCAAAGATACTTCTGTCCAACACGGTGTTTCTAGTGCAGGATTGATTGGTTGGATAAATGGTATTCTGTTCAGCAAATTTGCCTAATTTGCAATAGGAGAGGCTTAATTAGTTAAAAAGAAGAAGAAGCTACGTATCTTCATAAGTAACATTAATTCAGTTCAAGTGTTGAGCATATTGCCTTTGCAATAACAGATGTAAAACATGTTCTCAAGTTCCTTCCAAGTACTTTCGTGCAGAAAAGTTATCAATGCCAAGATTAAATTAAGAAGAGAAAAGAAAAGAAAAGTCAGGCTGGATTTTTCCATTTTCTAGGTTCTGTTATTACTTACTTGTGCTATTGTGCCCAAGGTATCATTTTTTCCTTAGCGAAGAGGGCAGTCCAATCGCCCCCGCAGGTAGTCCGATTGATTTCATAATCTGATAGTTACCAGTAGGTCCTGTAATTGACGCTCGGGTGTTACCTCGTTGTGTATCTTTGCGGCAAGGCTCTACGCAGTATTAAGGGATTAGTCTGATCGAAAAGCTGACATACCCCTAAGTTTAGGGAGGGGAAAAAAAAAAAAAAGAGGGCAGTCCAATCTTTGATTGCTACCTGGTGCGTTCTGACTTTGAAAGCATTTCTTCTCGGGAGTGGAGGTTGAAGCTGCATCTCAATACAATCGGATCAAGTGCACGAAATCTTCCACCATTTCTTTTAAGTCTCAAATCTCAAAGATTTTTATTTAACCTAATATCTTAGAGCTTTTATTGAAGAGTAGACAAAGCTGATAACGAGCTACACTAATGTACAATTTAATCACAAAACTTTTTGGTTTAAGCTTTAGGTTACACTAATCTCCCATTTGTCCTAACTCTGCCAACTTGAAATTACTATCAAATTCCAAAGGTATTCATAAAAAAAAATTAAAGATAAAAGTTTTAATAATAGCAAAATTTTGAGACTGAACTTTGAAGGGGGAAGGGGGATGGAGGAGACACGCCCCCTAAATTCTGGAAATTCATGTTTTGTTCTCTTAAAATTTCGAGAATTTTCAATATCTCTTTTATTTATTTAGCTATTCGGCACCCCAAAAATTTTTTTTAAAAATTTCTCTTTATTGTTAGTTGCTTGCATAAAGCTGTGCACATCTTTTAGTTAATTTTCGAGGCTACAAATGAATCAAAGAGCAAATAAATTGAGGAATGTGATGTTGGAGGTTCGTTGAACTCACTCGAGCTATAAACACACATATCCCTTTCTAATTTTTTATATTTAACGATTGAATGGTTGATCTTTTGCATGCCTGAACACCACGCTTTTTGGGAAGCTTTTGAAATGCGTGGTTCTTCCCGGTTAAAACAATGCCTACACGTATATTTGCGGACAACTTCTACATGTCACGTCTTCAAGCCCAAGGCAACACTGTTGCCAATTCAAGTGATCAAATTTTCTCTCCTTTCTCTTTTCGTCTATTGGTGAAAACAATTTCTCATCGATAGACTTCAATTTTCTGGAGTTAAATACCAGAAAATGTGCAAAAAAATTCTTTTTAAAATTATTTTATTAGTTAGGAAAAATCAGTACAACATAGCTAGGTCATTGATTCGGGAGCCGGGCTTTCTGATTGTTGTCATACCACAGTTCCAAGCATCTTCGAAGATAAATTCTAGTAGTCATTCATGAATTACACGAGAATCAGACAGTACAATGTTAATTTCAGAGATCTTCTTGATTCTACATTCTGAGCAGCAAAGGTAGACAATTCGATCAGTCCGAACCATAAAATGTTCAAAAATAAAATTTAAGGACTAAAGTGGGATGGGTTTCATACAATAGGGGTTGATGTCCAAAAATAAAATTCAAGAACTAATGTAGAAGGGCTTTTATTGTTTAAGGGTCCCAAGATAAGTATACAAAATATAGAAGGTGGGCTAACATGAATTATATACATTATTATTTACCCTTTGAATTCAAAAAAAACTTCAGCAAAGAAAATTTACTTTTTCTAAACAAATAATTATAGGGCTCACCTCTTATCTTATAATGTGCCCTTAGGACAAATATTAGAAAAATCCATTTACAGAAACTCACGTTTAACTTTGTTAATTTCTAGACAGTCTTTTTCGTTTCATAACTCTTAAAAAAAAAAAAAAAATTTTCGAACCATTCGTGGTATCTCACATTAGCCAGATTTCTGTAATTCCTGTCCATATCAAAAACGAATAAACGGATTGAAGCATATTACGGTTTGCCATTTTATTATCATTTCATGAATTAAGTGGACAATGTTTAGCTTGAAATCAGGTCCTCTGCATAAACAGTACTAAGTTGTCTTGGGAAGGAAGAAGATCTTGTTGGATAATGGAAAAGCAATTTCAATTGTCGTGTCTAGTATATTGCATTTATTTCTTTTGCATCTAGTCCTTACCATTTCCTTCCCGGTAGTTGTTGAACTTTCCTACAAGTTTGAGTTTCCCTTTGTTTCTATTGCAAGGTTTTCTATCTTATTGTAGCAAAATCAGATCCATCTTGCTGTCCTGCTCTAACGAGCAGGATAACTTCACATTAGAGTTATCTTCATGTCCATTGTTACTGCTATAAGCAAAGACAAGTGCAGACAAAATTACAGGATTTTCAACAAAACCCTTGTAATTTTCTTCTTGGCTCCACTACATTACAGATTCAAACATGCATGCACATGGAATCCCTATGTAAGCACCCGTAGCAAACCATTATCGATCACAGCAGTTAACCCAAAAAAAAAGAAAAAAAGAATAGATGGCTTTTCTTCCGAAAATGATTGGAACAGCAATGCCGGTAGTTATGGCAATATTCGTACTTGGGCTATGCTGCTGCTCATCTGCTGTGCATGCTATTCCAAATATGACTCGTTGAAATACTACGAATGCAACCCGGTGGCATGCCAGGACTTCTATTACGGGCGAAGTGTAGATTATGTCCTTAGAACGCTACCAACAACGGCGGCTGCAACTCCGGGGCTACAATCTGTACTCTCAATCTCCTTTTACCAATATGCCTATAGATTTTGGCCACGGGACTTGTAGCTTGTCTCTATCGCGTTCGGATTGTGCCAGTTGCATCCAATCTGCTTATATGATCAAATCACAAGTTTGTGCAATAATGCTAATATCGGGGCTGAGGTGTACCTTGTTGATTGTACTATCAGGTACGAGAATTATCAATTTACAGAGAGAATAATCTGATTGATGGAAGGGATGAGAACCAACATTGGTAGATACCATTTGGGGATCCAATTATTCAACATTTGCAAGACAGTTTTCCGAATTTTCGCCCCTCCTTTTCCCGTCTTGAGTGCAATCTGTACTCAAGAAGTTTGTGATGTTTCATTGTATCTTTGATTGTCGATTTCCTAATAAATAAATGTTATTTTGATTGGTTCATGGTGTCTAGTTATGCGTTGTTTTTAATCTATTTTAGTATAATAACTTCATCTTGGCTTCTTCTTATTAGTAGGTTTTTTGTAAGAATTTGCTTTTATCTAATTTTGTCAACTTCAAATCCATCTGGGCATCTCCTAATTAATAGCTTCTTTACTAGAGTTTTTTTTTTCCTCCTCAAATAACGTCTACGTTTGTATAGCAGACAATTTAGTTATTATTATGAATTAGCAAGAAACATGATGACAAAATTAGGGGATTATCAAGAATCCTAGCCCTGCAATATATACTAGCCCTGCAAACAAGCATGCATGAAATCTCTATTTAAGCACCAATTTCAAACCATTCATTGCCATCAAACCCAATATCAATTACATCCTAATTAAGTTAATCAATTAATTAATCGACACGAAAATCATAGGAAATTAAGAAGAGATGGCTTTTCTTCCAAAAAGTACTGCAGCAGCAATAGTAGCAATGGCAACACTACTACTGGGCTATGCTGCTCATGTGTTGTGCATGGTATTACAGACACGACTCGTAGTTGCTACTATTGCAACGTGGATAAGGCCTCACAAGTTCCGTGTCAAACAAGTTTGTGATCATTAGATGTAAAGTTGGAATAAGATGTAAATAAACTACAATATGTTATAAAAGAATTGGAAATTTACCTTGAAATAGAGTGAAATGAAACTTGGCAACCGATCCAATTGAAACATGCTGACGTAGATGAATGCTCCTATCTTTACCTGCTGAGTGTAAATTATGTACGTTCTTCACCATTTAGTAATTTTCACGCCAAAAAACCTCTACGATCGGTCTCCTTGTACTGGTACGCCAACAGCTTGTGGCCTGAGATTGAATGGCAAAAGAGAGAAGGAAAAAAAATCCACTTAAGTGACGCAGTTCTTTGGGTTATATGTTTCTTTTTGAAACGAGGAATTCAATTTTGATATGTCGAAAGTGACATGGCCCAAAATCAAGAAGTAAAGCAGAAGTTCAATTGACAGAAAAATAATGAAAAGTCTCAATACATATGAAAACAAATATCCGTCGGCGACCATGCACCAGGAAGGAAATGAAATGGAATAGCTGCAAAAGGAAATCTTATGCAGACACTGTTTTCTCATTGAACCCAAAAAGATTTTCTTCCTTCTAACATTAACTTATTGTAGTTTATGCATAGACCTCAATCTCAAGACAGGAAAACATGAATGTTATAGATGTAAATTTTGAAAGTTACAAACTACATATTTTTAGGCAATAGTTATAGGAAGTTAATTAGTGGGTGCAGGCCACTATTAGTATTACTTACAGAAAGTTTTATTGTTTGCCTAAAATAAAAATGGTGCTCCTTTAAAAGCTTTAGTGCAGTTTTGC